GATTACTTTTTTCCCCTTGTGTGGAGAAAACAGAAAACCATGATGTGCATATCATGCATTGTTTTTTGTGGCACAGAAACAGTGTGCTGTGTTGTCTTTCGAGCCAGCTTAAATGAGGCTGTGTGGCACTGAAATCGCTGCAAGAATCTTCCTGCTAAAAATAAATCAAGATCCGTTCATTTTAAGTGCATTCACTTCAGCAGTCAGTTTTGATTTTGGAGATTCCTGGCAGATTCCCGAGGCAGAGGTGCTAAGGGGTTTGGTGATGTTGATGGAACGGGGGATTCCAGAGCCTCCCTGGAGAGTTTTATTGGTGTCTTGATGGTGGTTTCTTGTTTGTCAAAGCATATGCTCGTCTAATGCCTTGATGTTCGTACCTCAAGCCACCTAGAGTATCTGCAGTTTCCTAGAGAAGAATGCTCTCATGTTGTTATTGTAAATTGTATTTTGTTATTGTAAATTGTACTGGTAATTCCTCTTTTTTTTTTTAACTGCAAACATCAATTTACGTTCCATTACAGACTCTTGGTTCTTTTATTCCCTATCTTTGATATGCATTTTATCAGTCATCTTTGTTCCTTCTTGGTAGCTCTTGCTCTGCTAGGATCAGGATGACTGCAGTTACGTGTGTCTGAATTTATATTCCACAACAGAGGTATTACAGGGAGCCCGTTACTCAGGTGGGCCTTCTTACCAGCCTTTTCCTCATAGCGAGGAGATCATCCGCTGCTTTCATTGTGCTGCTGTAATCCTGGTTGCGCTCTTGCTTAAATTACTCCTTTGCAGAGTCTCTGCTGTTTCGAAGACCAGTGCGCGTCGCTTTGCCGCACCTAATTCCACATTATATTGTCAGCGTTGGCTATAGAGTTCTGCAAATTTTCAAGAGCGGATACGCACTAGCTACAGTTCATTATCTAAAGTAAACAGCTAGTTAGCTTACAGCAGAGAGCTTCTGCAAGGTTGTGTTCTACAGAATACAAAAATAGACCAAAAAGTGAGTGTATCCCCTTGCTTGGCTTTACTTGTGCTGTGAGTGTCTCCTGCCGGTGTTCATACCTCCAGTACTTGTGTTTGAGGATACACAGGTCCTCTAGACTCCTTTCATTTATACGTTATCTTTAAATGGCTCTTGCTTGGCTGTGTAGCAGTGGTTTCCCAATCTTCACTAGCTTATGTGGAGCAGCAGTAAGCAAGTGGTATGCTGCTGGCCACAGCATACTTCACTCTCCTTCAACAGTTTCAGCCTTAGTTTAATTTCCTCCGGCAGCAAGCTGTTCATACAAGGAGGATGGACTCCATCGCCAGCACCATTAACTTCGGATGTCTCTCCTCAGGCTCTCATGAGAGACGGTGCCTTCTCTAGCGCTACCGTGAGGAGGCGAGTGCCCCGTTTCACAGCGACATAGGAGAGAACCTGTTTTTCTACGGCCACTCAGCCCCTCTCTCTGCAGGCAGCTAGGCAGGAGGATCAAATACCGGGATTACACAGCCCTGCCTGCTTTGTATTGCAGTCTCTTCCCTTACTACTGCTTTTTGCAGCCAGGAGGGTCTCCTACAAGGTCAAAGGGCAAAGCACCTGAACTGCTCTGACCCAAACTCAAACTCCCTCCTGTCAGAGAGGATGATTTAAGGTTTTGGGGTTTTTTTTAAGGCCTCCTATACAGCCTTGTCCCTGAGTTTTGAGGTTGCCCTGGATCACCACAGGCCCTACGAAACACAGATCTCTCGGCACCTGAGAATTTTCTTTCCTGTAAACAACATATTCCTGGATCTGGTTTACAGGCTCGGGCAAGTTCCGTTCGGTAGTCTTGCCCTACCAGTGGGATGGATTGCCAATGCACGCAAGTTAAGTACAAGATTCATACCCCTGACAAAGGAAAGGGGTGATGGAACTTGGCGTTTAGAAGGGAAGCTCTTACAAGGAAGGCCAGGTATCTTAAATATACATTGACGAATGAGGACTAAAACACGGTGATTTATTGCCAAACCTATTTGACAGCCTCTTTCCAGTTTAGGCTTGTTCGTTATCAGATACTTGCTACATGTGAACATAAAATGAAATAACATACGATTGACTAACAATTCTTAGCCAGTTGATTGCAGGAAGGATTTCTCCGCTCTGTTGTTGAAGGCACGGTTCTGTGCATGGGCTTCTCTTGGAGCTGCTGCAAATGCCACTGTTGAGCTGTTTAAACAAGAGCAGCGACTGTTACCATCTGACAGCGCCCTTGGTTCTTCCTGGGGCGTGTTTTGAGAAACATCAGCATTAGCTCAGCATTTCCCTTTGCAGGGACTGGGATCCAGTCGTTTCCAGGTGATCTCCACGTGAGGCTGCTCGACCCACTCTCCCGCCTCGGGGGGCTCCATCAGCTGTGGTCCCTGGTGAAATGAACCAGTTATCTGAAAGCCCCGTCTGTCCCCGGAGCTCTGAAAGGGTTATATTGGGCCTATTGTAGTTTTAAGCATTCTGTGATGTGCTCCTTTATAGAAAACAGGGACAGGTAAGCGTTTTCTGATCCGGACAAGTGCAGACACCTGGAGGAGAGCATGTACCAAGCCTATAGCTACTAGGAGCGTCGCTAACAAAAGCGATCGTTTCCTGCCTGCCAGCATTGCTTGTTTGAGATATCGGTGCCATAGCAAGCGCTGGGTAAACAAGATGATTGTTTCTGCTGGATGATCTTAAAGCCCTCCTAACTGTCTGCTCAAAATACTTTTCCATTTCAAGGAAATGACTGTCTTGTTTGTGTTAAGAGTCAGGAATGGGAAATGACGTGAACACTTAACTGTTTTTCCTGGTGTTTTTAAGAGGAAGCATATTCACTGTCTCGGGTCTTATTTCCAAAGGCATTCAGTGTTTTCCATAACCCTGTTAAGTAAGTACTAGAGGCGTGTGCATGCATATATATATACACACACACACACACACGTGCGTGCATCAGAAAATATCTTCTGAATCTTGCGTATCCACCTGGTAAACTTTCACTAGTGTCTCCCTGTGACCATGCTGTAACGTGAGTTGATACATTCCCCCTCACAGTGCGGAACTGAAACTGTCCTCAGGTCTTGTTTTCCCAATGCTGGAATAAATCTGTGAGGATAGTGTGCTGTAATCTCCCTGAAGTAGAAAGAAGTCAAAATTCACATTTGTCGTGCTTATTTTGCTCAAGCACCAGTTTTATCTGCATCTGCTGAGTTACACTGTGCACTTCATCTTTTTTATCTGTGTATTGCTCCTCGCTTGCCCTTGAAAAAGAAACGGTCCAACGTTAGTCTTTTTAGTCGCTGATAACTTTTTGTTACTGATTTCTTTGGTCAAGGTATTTTTCTAAACCAGTCGCTTCTCCTTCAATTCCTTGAGAACCAACGCTGGCAATCTGGGACACGCTTGTCCCATAATCCCACTTCCCAAGTCTTGTGTGCACTGCCCTGCAGGACTGAGGCGTCCAGACTTGGGTATAGTGACTCCATTCCTGGAGTTCCTGGATGTGGGATTCTCTCTCTCTTCTGTGCTGCTGCAAGTGCCTGGCAAAACACAATCCTGGCCCATGACTGGAACTCCAGGATATGGGGAAAAAAGGTCTGGTTTGGCTTTTTTTTGGTTTTTTTTTTTAAATCAGCTTGGGCCTTTAAGACATTGTCTTTGCGTTAAGTCCTGCTGCTCTTGCCCACGTAAAAATGTAGGTATTGTAATACACAACAGCCAGGCTAATGTACCACATGGCAGTTTTATCTCCCTAACTTCTGTTCAATTCCCTCGCCCTTCCTCAAGAAGAAGCAGGTTAAACCACCTCACAAAAATCAGAATTAACAGTGTAGGTACTAAAGAGTAACAGTGAAGGTACAAGAACGCAGCTCTACAGTGGCAGGAAAACACCGCGACCCAAGCAAGACCTCGGTGTCTGTAGCTGGAGCAAGCACAGCGCCTGCAGCACGGGCTCTGGAACGCTGAGTTCTCAAACCCGTTAGTAACGTTTATTTTTTTTTTAACAGATGTTAATGTTTGACTGTTTTTTTATCATCTGATACTGACAGATGACACAATCTCAGGTCTTCTGAAAATCAAACTAAAGTAACATTTTATTGCCCTATAGAGACTTACTTAGTTGTTAATCACTGTACGTTTTTTCTTATATATAATACAACTTAAATTCAACCTTTTTTTTTTAAACACCACTCATTTATTTCTGCATGGTTTCTTTGTACTTCCATGCATAAACAGGAAAGTGACCCATAACATGCAGGGGAAAAGAAAGTTTCATTTCCAAAATGTTTTTATATAGATCAGAGCATATTGTACAGACCTTTTATAAAGACTTGTGTGTATGAATCAAAGGCAGGAATAGCAGCCCTTCAGTAGAAATATTTTTAAACTTAACATCTCGACAGTGAAATGTCAAATGAAGGGAAATAGCTGTTATATGAAACAAGGCAAATGTTCACCTGGAATATAAAACCGGAATTTGAGCAGGAGTTTCCGATACAAAAGAAATCCCCTCTTTTAGCTGGGGGGGAAGGGAAGGTGTAGAGGAATGCCTTTGTTGCTATACTTAGTTTGGTCTCTAAAACAGAAAAAATGCATAAGTTTATATTAGCGTGCATTCAACTTCCGTTAATGCCACTCAGTTCACATATTGCATGCATCCCTAAGAAATGAAAGGTTCTGATTATAGAACTTGTTTTTATTGTCTACAACTGTGATACAAAATGGCTGTTGCAGAAATTATTTCCCCAGGTGAGAAAATGAGCACTCAACGACATATTTGTAATGAAGTAAGGAATTTGAGAATTACTTCTTCACCTAAAATTCATAGTTTATTTCATAGTTTCACTGATGGAGTTTTTCATTTTCTTCAATGATTAGTCATGACTCTCATCCTTCTGGTATGTATACAGAAGTGTTATGCACCAGCCTCAGCACGTACAACCACAAACCAACTCAACGTTTTACATAAGACAGTTTGCTTTTATAGTGATCACGCACTGATGTGAACATAGACTAAAAATAACAAATGTTGCTTTAATAAGGATTTTTTACAGTAGGCGTAGATATAAAAGTTTTTCAAATTATTTTCACAGGTATCACTGAACATTTCATAGCTGTCTTGTTACAGAAGCACCGAAAAGTGCTTTGAGTCTCTCATTTATTATACAGAGTTAAAATATATTACACTTCTGAAGGTATCTTAAATCACTGAACAGTTTTGCTAGCATCTTAATGAGCCAAATGGGAGTAAAAGGCAGTCCACATTCATGATGTGAATATACAGTTTGACATCCTGTTAACTCATTGCTCACGTTCTCAAAATAACCATGGTGATGAGACCTGAAAGACAAGAATTAAGAACTAAATGCTTTAATTTCACTGAACAGAACATTTAAAATAAAGACCGTTTACCCTGTCAGGCCAGAGAATAAGGTAAAAGTGCCTAAATACACGCAGAATGAATTTATATACACGCTTCGCTTAAATATTGGAAGCATTGCTCTGACTGTCAATGTAGTCAAAGTCTGTGTAAAGACCACCCTGAAGTGCAGTATATCTAGTAACTAAACTTCAAAGAAGCTATAAATACTCCAAACATTTTCCAGTAGTGAGATCGGTAACCCTTAGTGTTGAGATTTTGACTTAGGCAAGTGTATCGCCAGCACACAGGCCGCCAGTTTTCTTGGGGGCGAGTTACGGGCAGCGCAATTCAAATGCTGAATCACCAGCAAGGTAGATTAGCTGAGGGCTCCAAGACATTTTTGTTTCTGCTCTGTGCAGAATATCTGATCAAAGACTAGTTTTAGACAAAGATGTTAAGCTTCCTTGTCAGTCTGCATGGGGAGCTTTCTACAGACTCTTTGTTGTGACCTTTAAAGAGGGAGGGGAAAAAAAAAAACCTGCTCTGACAGAGGTTAAAAACAATTAAAACCAGATGAAAGCAGGAAATGTGGGGCTAATAAACCTACTCATGAACTAAAAAGTTCACTTTAATTATGTGCAGATACCGGAAAATGTACAAATCTGCAAGTTCTTAGCCATGAGTTACATTGCACAAGGCAAAGAGGCATATGGAAAAACATTAGGGCTCCTTGAATTCCAACCTTATGTAACATCAAAATAGTAATTTATCAGTTCTTAGGCAATCTAACTTTCTTACAGGCTCAGATGATGTTAATGTAACAGCCTTTCGCTGCAGAGAGCTTAGCTAAAGCCTACAGATCTCACCACAGATAAAGAAATTTCCGAGACTGTTTTACTATCCTGCCACTACGTACTGATTTAACTTATTTACTTTATAAACATTTTGACGATAGAAGCATGACAGAACAGAGTTGTAACGCTGCCTTCCATTAAATAAGCAATTTATCCATTAAAGAGGAATTACAGTTCAGCTATTTCTTAAGGTCTGTGTTAGCTTAGACAATCAGTGCTGCCAGAACTGCTGTAGGCCTTAGCTTGGATTATCTAAATCATCGCAGAGTAATAACAGAGGCTTCTGGAAGGTGCTACAGGACAGCCTAGATCACTTGTATAGGGACTTCCAGGCAATAAAGAATTTAACTCATTTCTGTAAAGCACGTACTTCTCAAATGTCATACAGCCCAGTTGGTGCGGTATTAACCTCCCTTCTCAATTAAACGCTACACAATCTAGTTGTACTTCGTCGTGGAAGAAAGTGGTTTCATCTTCTCAAGGGCAATCAACTCTAGATGAGCAAGAGCTGCATACAGAAGAAGAATCTTCTCGGGAACACTAAAAACGCTGCTACCAAAGGAATCGAAGCCTGCAAGAACTTCATAGTGAAGCTAGAAACAGGTAAGTTGTTGCAAATGTATGAAGTCAAATGGTTTAATACTATAGCTGGCACCAGCAGACACGGGAGTAATTTTCAAAACTGGAGATAAAAATAAAGCAAGTATTACTACAAGGTCCTGATCTGAAAATGCAGCACCACCTGCTCAGGCAAAGATGTAGGCTTCTGGTTAGCAGCAAGGGAGTTCTCAAACCATTTCAGCAGACTGACCTGCGTGAGTCAGTCAACTGAGCGTGCGCATTATCCCTCAAGAACTTGCATCTTTTCCCATTACTACCTCACCTCTAGCTATCAGTTTGAAGCTGCCTAGCTCGTTTCCTTTAAATCCTCATTTCTGCCAGGTAGTGGGACAGGAGAACTGAGTTTAGAGTGACTGTTCTTCAAATCTGAAATAGTTATAGAAAAATAGTCATAGCAAATGAAATGTGCAACTGATCTATGCTTGCTAATTTAGGAGCAAGTTACAAATCGGGAAGAATTGTGGATGGTAGTGGTCTCTTAGGAAGGGTTTACCACAACTTATTTCTACACATTTCAACTGCTTATCAACAAGGTAGTGAATGGAGCCTTTCAGACCAGCTCATCGGGGTTGGAGAGAAATAGAATAACAGAAGAGATCTAGGTTCTGCAATAGAGCAACTCTATTTCAATGTAAGAATAAGAAACAGCACATTCCATTCAGTTTTGTTGGCAGATGACTACAGTTGGCCAGTCATCAAATGAAGGTGAAATTAACATGTAGGGGCCTGTATTATAATTATCGACTAAAATCTGGTCTAAAACACTTACAGGAACTAATTTACACTGATATCACTATGGCTGCAAGTTAAAATATGAGTGGAGACGCAAAACAAAATGTAATGTGGTGCTTTGTCTCCATCAAGTTTCCTGAAGCCACTGGCAAACACAGGAGAAGTTTCCCAAATCACAGAAGTTGCAAGAAAACATTTACAAAATCCAAAATACTTACCTAAAACATAAGCAGCTACTAACTTTTGATTCACACTTAAGTGGAGGTAGAGAGGCACCAGGGATTCCATTTCCCCCAATGTAGGTAGCATTAGTGCTGCAATACACACTATTCCTAGGAAGACTGTTAGTAAACTAGGTCCCGACGAGGCAGTTCTGTTTTCTGAAAAACAAGATGGTACCAATTGTAAGGAACATCTACCCAATATAGATGTTAAGTATTCTGCAAAAATGTTTGCGGTACGTTGGAGCTGCAACATGCTGAGGTTTTCTTTTCCCTTTGGAGTTTGGAGGGGGTGGGAAACAACTCTTAAACCCACCCTCCTAAACCCGCACTTTGCAGCGGAGAAGGCTGCTCCCTGTTCTGATGCTGGAACTTGTTTTCACATGACTTCCCAAACCCCTCCCTCCCGGAGGAACAGTGCCTGCCAGGCCCAGTAGCTACATCTACACACTCGTGACAGCTGGATTCTTGCAGCAATACTTGAGGTTTCACCATGCATCCTGACTCCATTCCTTGCTATGTTCCTTCAGTGATTAGTAATCAATTAGGCAAGAGCACCTGAAGGAGCTGCACAGGCAGATAACTCTGCTTATGCCTCCAGAACAAAACTTGGCTACAGCAAGAGCACAGGTTCTTGGGCCAGATGCATTCTCCTTTCTTTAGAGGATTCAAGAGCTGCACCTGCCAGAACCAGTTTATGTGCCACAAATTAGTAATATTTGAATCTTACTTTAAAAACTGTGAGAGCGAACTCTTCTGACAGTCCAATATCACCAGAATAAGGAAATGCAAACTATAGATGAACTGTCATTCATATTCTTTATGGCGCTGCAGTTTAACAGCCGGAACCTACTCAAAGGCACACTGTGTAATCTTTGAGAAGAGCTGTTAACATCTTAGTAGAATACCTCTAACCAAATTCTTAAGACCCACTGGAAAACAGTCAATGTTTTTATCAAGTTTTCTCTCCTCAGTGACTAGCGATACGTGTCCTATTTTAATTCCATCAATCTGTTATTTCTAGGTTGCGGATTATATGCAAAGACTGTAGTTGCTTTGTTTACTGTTTCTCTGTAAGCAAGCAATATGATGTAGTCAACACGGGTTTTAAGCAGAGAAGTAGCATTTGGATTAAGACCAGTATCGGGTAGTTCAAGATGGCTCAAACCCTCTGTACCAGAACAACTATCATAGTAACATTTTGTTCTGTGAGGCCAGAGATCTTGTAGGTTTGCTTTAACCATGTATCCTACTAATACCTATCTGGGTTTTTTTTTTCTAGTAAAAGGGGTTTCACCAGCCAACAAACTATGTATAAACAGTGAAACAGTTTGCTTTTAACAAGAGGAACACTCTCAAGCAGGTTCATCTATTTTCTGGAATTGATTTTTGTTCTTGTCATGAAAAATAAGACAGTGACAAAAATATTACAGTATAAATCAGTGAAAGTAACAAGAAGGTAGACTGTCAAGTCAAGAATCAGTTTAGATTCAGTTCTGGTAAAACTTGGTACTTTCTATATCTCCCTCTACCACTTCAATTTAACTGTTCGGTGCAGCTTTTGCCCAAGACTGTTGATTCACTTCCTCACATATGAGATGTGCAAAGAGTTTTCAGCTAGCAACTGTGCTTTTCTGTACTTGTGGGACAGACAAATGAGATGGTGCAGAACAAGGAGCACTTTAGAAGATGTTTTGGCAATATTTCTTGCTCATCAGGAAATGGAGGATTAAGGGTTTGGAACAAACTCAGAAGGGGCATATGTTCTGAAAGAGCCCAAGGGAAAAAAATAACTACCATCCTTTTGCAGATAAATTTCCATTGGCTGTAACAGAACTTCTGCACCAGAGGAACAGAGGATGTACTCTCCAAGGTACGACATGCAAACCTGGGGTAGCAAAGGCTCTTGATTAATCAAGGCAGCATAAGCAGAATAGCCATAGTTTGGGTTCTTGGGCACTATCGTTCCCCAGTGATAAAGACAGCAGTCTTACAGGTAAGTAAAAAGAATTATTTTAAAATTTATTTTAGCCTAGGCTTTCTAGTCACTTGAGCTATTCATAACTGATACAGAAGACAGGAGGGGTAAAAGATTTCAGCTACCTGGTTGACACAAAGTCTGCTCAAAAAAGACACTTTCAGTCAGGTGTTCTTTTATTCGTTTTTCCTCCTCTTCCTTTTGTTGCTGTTGTTCCTTTGCAGATGGAAGTAGAGTAGCAATAATCTCCTTTTTCCCTAATGCTTTCCTCTGGCTCTGCTCAGACACTTGTAGACGGAATTTATCCATCACACCATAGTAAGAAGCCCGAACATCTCTGTGACGAATTACGCTGCAGAGGAAAACAACATTTTCAAACAGAGGAACTAATAAAAAGCATGTCTCCTGTGGAATTATGCCCTACATCCCGATGTTTCCCCTCTTTCCCCCATACGCAGATACACTGCAACAGTACAGATCCCCGTTCCCTCCTCCATCACTCAATGTTCTTGAAGATTTGATCTTGCCTCGTATCTCCTCTCTCTATATTTGAGAACCAGAGTGAACATATCGGCTCCAACTGGCTGGCCAAAAAGAACAGTTAACTATTTATCTCAAGCACACCTTTGCCTCAATCTGAGGCCTAGCTGCCAATTTGCATGAAACATCAATTATCTGAAAGATGCCTCCTCCTCTATCGAAGCTGCTTGATGCTGGCCAATGAGTTTAAAAGGTATGGGGGGTCTGGAGTGGACAGGGAAGGAAAGAAGAAAACTAAGACTGCCAAACACTCGGACAGATGATGGCAAAAGTCTGGCTTTTTGAGGAAACCAGGCTCAGAGCTTTACAATTATACTTTCTCAGAAGCAAAACTCATTCCCTCTACATTCAAGAGTCAGCTAGATGTAAAGGGATTTTCAAAATCAGAAGCCCACCATTAAGAGCGTGTAGCAATGCAGTAAAAATGACAACTACGTATCTACATAAACATTTCTCACCTGTCTTTCAGTGAGTAAATCTGGATATCAATAGTAGACCTCTGTGCTGTCAGAGCTTTGCTCATCAATCCAGCTACCTTGCACACGTTTCGTACCCTGCATTGAAATGCACGATGCTGCAGACACTTCACTATCTACCAAGAGCTAGAGCTAGGCCAGGTGTAGCTACACAAGCTGCAATCACAACTCAGACTGCAGTGTAGACATATTCTCTGAATTATAGCTAGAGAGTCAGTTATTTTCTTTGTAAGTCTTCTCACTGTCCAGCAACCGTTCTGTTGCTCTACTGTTTTAAATACGTTGACCAAGATGGCTTCAACAGTAAGACAGGGTGATAGTTGTTGCATTCCTTCTAGTTTTATGGCATTTCATGGGAAAAGATGTATGTGGGACCTACAAAAGGCACAGTTTTAAAGTAACACTGATCAAAGGCAGTGCAGACCTCTGAGCAGTGTGCTGCCCAACTGCCTCCTCTCTGCATTTATGATTCATTATCAAAATAAGTACCTAGCATTAAAAAGCTCTAACATTTAGGGTTTGAAGTTATATCGGCTCTTAGGGTTAACAAAGATTTTAACTATTTTTCCAAAGTGGAAAACTTTTTTTGCAAAAGGCTATTCTAAATTTATAAGATAACAATAGCTAATCTGAAAATATACCTACATATAAGTGATTTGGCTTCAAGAAGATTCCCATCTCCTGAGGGGGAAAAAAATGATTCTACCCTTAGTAACACGGGACAGTAGTCTTAAAATTGCTTCAAGAAACCTATCTTCGTGATAATATAAACATTAAACTGCTGCAAGAAACAGATTTTTTGTGTTTCAGTCTTCATTTAAAGGAACTATATCACATCACATATCTACAGTCATTAACACATAGCCAGTGCTTGTAACTGGTATCTAGTTTGAATAGACTATTCAACAAGGAAACAGAGACTAAGTCATCCCCCAGCGAGAAGGCTGCAGGAAATGTACGTAGTTTTACGTCACTTTAGAGGCAAAAGAGCGTGCTTATGACAGGCTTTCAGCAAGCTAAGTGTTGGCTGGGCAACTGCCTTCACTAAAACAAAAGGCTTTTTCCCCCCGGCAATCCTAATTCATACAACTCTCAGCATATCAGAACAGCGGATTCAACTCTGATTTCTTCCTTTAACACTTCCTTTTAAATTTTTGTTTCTACTCTTAGTACCATGGTACTAACCACCAACCTAAACAGAATCTTGACATAACACTGTGCTCTGAGAACATGTCTGCTGCCAAGCAAAGAGATGTTTTCTGCAGACCCTTATAAACAGATACATTCTCCAGTTTCTTTTTAGAGATCATTGCATAATTGGAAGCTCTGTAGAATATCTGTTTATCTGGCAAACGGCCATACTTGCATAGTACTGCTCATATCCTAGCAGTAAACACTGCCTTTAGACAGCAACTATTAGAATGGGATAGGGGTTTTGCTGCACAAAAAATTCCCTTGGAAACATGCAATGTCTTATTTTCCTTTATTTAATAAAAGACATTTGTTTAAGACGAACCAAATGTAATCATGCTTGTGTAAGTGTCTGCTAAAGACTGGAACAGCTCACTGATACACTGGTATATTCTGACCTGTTTTGTTCCATTTTTAGGATTGTTGCCCCCGCCCACTGAAAATTTTAGTTCCATGTTTTAAACTTCCTTTCTATTTGGTGAGTCCTTGGAATTTTCCAAATTACACCTAAGGAAAACAGTCTACAGGAAAGAGCCATTCCCCAAGCACGGTATTATTTATCCGACAAAAGATGGATCATTCAATAGCAGGGGGGTTTGTATATGGCCATTTGTTAGCCAGAGATTCCAGAAGGTGTTTTACAGTTTGCAAGTTTCTAGTCAGAAAGCTCAGTCTGCTCTTTTAGGTACTTAATACTTTCTTTAGCTGTATCTGTACATCAGCACAGAAATAATGTGGCAAATGGAAGATGAAAAAAAACCAGGCTATTTTAGCTTACATACCTACTCTCCTTTGAATTAGAGCAGCCTACAGACCCTATACGTTATTGTGGTCACTTAACTGGCCTTCATCTTTTCTCTGTTATTGGGTTGGGACCTGACAGGAGAAACAACTAAAGGGGAGACAGATCTGAGAACGAGAAAGGTGGTCAGGGTGAAAGGTAGGCAAAAGTACCTTTATTAAACATGGCCCAGCAAAGTGTGCTCAGTAGAACTGCATACATTTTCATTTTGCCCATCTGCAAACAAATATTTCTCACAAAGAAATCCCAACCCTGGGGGTCTTGTTTTTCTTGTTAGAAATAACAAAAAAGTACTCAGAGGAGGCTCATATTACTAGGCTGGTTTACCAACTATACTACAGGATGCATTTACTAGCATTTTATTTATGCCTAAAGACAAAATTAAAGAAGGAAATTTCTCCAATATTGTAATATCTCTGCCCGAAAGTGAAAGAACAGCAAAGACCATATGGCCACAAGAATACAAGAGATTAGGAAAATATTATATCTTTCTCCAACTTAGTTTATACTATGCACGCTGTCATTTACTACATCTTAAATAATAAAAGAAATTAAGGTAATCAAGTGTCATACATTAGGGGGGAAAAAACCCAAACCCACAAACAACTTTTACTTACATATCAACACAGCACTGAGGCTTCACTGCACCAGTAGCATCAACCACCGCATATTTATTTGGAGTTGTACAAAGAACTGCAATGAAAAGGACAGTGGTGGTAACAAATCATGAATTAATACCTCACCAACTTCATCAACAGATATACGTAAAGACACGAGTTTGGTTTTGTCACAAATATGATTTGTTACATGAATTATAATTGGACTGTTCAAGATCACCAACTAACCCTTAAATAAAACTTAACCTAAGAAACCCACCTTTGAATTTTAAGGCAAACTCATAGGGGTTATATAGAGTCAACACCTGCTTGTGTGTTGACTGGTCATCTGCATAAAATATAAGTTCTGTAGGAAAAACAAAAACAGGAAGATTTCCTTCCACTAACTCTGGCTGTCTTTTTTGTTGCTGCATTGGCACTGAATCCTCCTTGCTGCTTCTTGTGTTCTTATGATTTTGTATCCTCAGAGACTTCAGTTTTTGAATCGTTTAAGAATTCCAAAGCATTTTGGCAATTCTAAAGGAAAAAAGGGGAAAAAAGAGAAAAGGCAAGAAGATTATTTCCATAAGTCTATACTAAACTGAGGCAGTCAACAAAGGTGTAAAATATAGAACTTGACGCTTGGTTATAAATCTGCCCTTACTTAAGTTACTTCAAAAATACGGAAATAGAAAAAATATTCGCATCAGGTTCCCATCTATTTAACACACTGCTATAAAATAAATGGATAGGCACTTATTCAGTGTATCATGGCAGCATTTTGGGGTCCCAGTCCATGACAAGGGCTGCTTATGCTGGGTCTTTGCAACACAAACCAAACAACAACAACAACAAAGATATCCCATCCTTGCCTCAGAACACTAACGCTTGAGAAAAAACAGAGCAGAAATGAGGAAACACAAAGACGTAAGGCAGCAGTAGTCACCATTTAGGCAGGAATCTCTGCAGTGGTGACCTTCCCGGATGAGGTATAATAACTTAGGTATCTGCTCACATAGGCACTGAGGTATGTCAAATCCCAGAGATTCAGAACAAAAGAATGGGGAACACCTTCATGCCCTGTTTAAACTAAACTCTTGTTACAATTGCATGGCAGTTACAGGCAACGAATTGAAAAATAACTGGGATGAATAATACCAAACAGATTTGGGATTTACTATTTGATTAAAAATTAAGACAGGTTTTCTACCAGCACTGCCTCTAACCAAAGTATAACTATTGTAATTCTCCCTCTGCCATCCCCACAGTTTTGTTTTATTTTGAGTGACATTCCAGAACTAAAACCAGAACCCATGACCCAATCAAGCAACAATCCCAAACGTATTTCATAAAATAAAATTAAGGCCAGACTCCTCAGCACGCATACCATTGACTTTACACACTACAGACAGAACAAAGTGAAACAGCTACATATATTTTTCCCTCCAAGAACATCATATTTTACTGTAGCTCCTATAGGTTAATTATCAAACCGAAGGTGTCCTTCGAGGCTTAACTTTATTCTATAGTAGAAAATATTAAAAGAACAAAAAGTTCCTACTGACTCATTAGCTGTAATTTCCACTTCCAATGAAGCTTTATAAAACAACGTCCATTTCAGCTGTTCTCCAGTCTAATAAAATGATTTGGTTGCACCTTAAGAAATTTAGTTTCTGAACTTTCTAGCAGCGAATAGCCCTACCATTATGAACAATCAAAAACAAATGCTTATTTTTGCATTCTAAACATCAGGATGTTCACATTTCCAAGCACCAGATACATGTTTCATACTTGAAACACGATGCAAGTTTAGGTGTTTACTGGAGTATATCTGTCAAATCTTCAGATTTACAGGTTCTGATTCTTATTCACAAACTAAGCTTTTAAATGTATTTATTTTTTAAAATAGCAAATCATCCCTGTAAAATTTAAATTCATGGCTCTTACTGGAATGTCTTTCCCCAAGATCCAGTTTCCTTTCAGAGCACAGGTTTGTTTCCACTTCACTGAAATGCTACTAATAATATTCTGAAAACAAATCCCCAACGATAGTGTTCCAAGCTGATGTTCTGCTACCTTATTAAGAAGAGTCTAGAAAAAGAAATAGCTCTGTAAGTGGCAATTTGGGTTCCAAGTGCTTCTTAGAGTTCTGGTGAATCCCTTTTGTTTCAGAAGAATTAACAAACTCTGGAATCACTTTCTGCAGCAAGTGTAAGCATTATTTCTTGAACAACTTTATGTACTATTGCAAAGTAAGAGTCATTGTTCCATATATTAAGACTATATGAAGAGCTAATGTAGACAAACTGCCAGCTCATAAGAACACAAAATAACTTCTTCTGAAATTTCTCCTAAGCAGAACATTAAGAATTTTAATCCCCCCCCGTTAGCTCAATGCAGTATGCAGTAAGCATATGTGAGAATCTTTGGTTCTCATACATATCTACACTGCATACATTACATGTAACAGAAATACAGGCAATCTTTGAAACTAACAAACGGGTTTTTTTCCTAACAAATGTTTTAAACTACCTTACAACCAATACCAAACTACTGCTAGATATTTTTAAGTGACTGTATTTAATAAAATTTTAAAAATATTATTTATAATAATTAGTATTATTTTGATGCTTTAGGTTTTTATTTAAACACTGCACAGGTTTCATTCTGATTCCTGGTGTCATACAGTCACACAACTCCAGTTTCTTCAGCTGGGCCAGTGGCAAGAGCTTAGGTGTCCAAAAAACCCACAAATCACAACATCAGTTGAGGTATGGATCACTAAGCCTATTAACAGGCTCGTTTTTCTTATGCATCTGTTGAAAACACACTGCACAAACTTCCCAGGATTCCACAACTTGCAGGCGGAAAGCCACCACTCTTAAAAAAGTATACCCTATTATTGCTTCCTTTTCTTATTTAACTTGGCTGGATAAGAAGTTGTGGCTCAAACCGGCAAAAGTAAATCTGGCAAACCCAGACCTGCAGTAGACATGTTTGCTGACACAGCAGTGTCATTCAGGATAGAAATTTCTGGGTTTCTAAGCAAGCAACCAGCATCCTTTTTGAGACAATCATCTTGGCTTAGAAGTCACCTTGCTGGGATATCTCACCAAGTAATATCAGTAAAAGTACTTTTCCCAAAGACCACATTATAAACTATACACGCGCTGGGGAGATTTGATGGTTTAGCATTAAGAACAGCATACCTTTCATACAGCACTCATCAGCAAGAAACTGTAAAGACTTCTACACAGAAAGTCTGTATTGTCAGAACTTTTCTGCACAGATTAACCCTAGAGCAGCACTCCTGTACATGTTCAGAATAAGGCTACGCAGCTGGCTGCCTTCGGCACCCCAGCCAGCTCATTTAAAAGAAAGCTGGCTGCCACTCTTCTACACTGTGCACTGCAGCGCAGCAGATTCTCACCACGATCCCTAAATTTTATACAGTCAATAGTCACCGTGATTACTCGCAGATCATAAAGGTAAGCACAAACAAATCTGTACGAAACCGAGGTCTGTGGTCTCAAGTCTGTGCCCTACCCCGCACAGATGGGCTTCTCCGAGTACTGCCAATGAGACTCCCCGCAGGTGCAGGAATCTGTCAAATGTAATGCTCATTACAGGACACGGGCCAAAGTGTAACACCTGAACAACGCCAGCTTGCTTTTCAATGCTCTTTGAAGTCCAAACAAACAATTGTCACTGTTTGTTTGTTTTTTTAGCACAATAAGGATCTTTCCCCCCTGAAGTTACTAAATATATACTGCTGGTGTCACAACAGCACAGATCTGCCAGCGTTTCCTTTGAAATCCTCTTCTTCATAAATTTAACTCGACAGAGAAAAACACAAAGTGAAACATAACTTCTCTCTAGGGTCAGAAATAACACTGATCGTGATTTGTTTTCACTTAACAAGTATCTGCTGAAAAAATAGATCAAGTGAGGAAGTTTTTTGTTCCCATTTTAACTTCCAACAGCCTCATCACCATGGCTTCTGGGTGCATTTGTTGGTTGGGTTTTTTCCTAACAACTGCCAACAACTCTACAGAATGTCATCTGGTAAACACTTTATTCAGAAGATAACCTCTTTACAGTCATGGTCTCCACATTCTCCTTTTAAAAATTGTCTAATTACAGTGTAATCTATTTTTGTTATATCTCATGATCTACCCTCTAAATCTACACAATAAGCCTTTCTACACTAGATAATAAAATTGACACCTTTTGAGCGCATATGTACAAAATAAGCCACAAAGTCTTCTTCAAAATTCCCTCCTATGTCAAGCAGTGCAATTACTTTAAGCTACATGCAAACACGGCGTAAGATCTCGCTGAAGCAGATCTATTAACACTTTTATTTTTTCCAGAAGTTTTTGAAGGCCTTAACATGCACTTACGCAAACCAATGTTTAAACTACCTGCAATTATTTGGGAGAGTCATCCAATGGTTAGAGCACAGACCCAGCAGCCAGGATGGCTGGATTCCATTATTGCTAACTCTGTCACTGACACTCCATGACCTTGAGCGAGCTGGTTAACCTCACCTCAATTTGCTAATCTATGAAGGCACATATTCTGCAAAGTATTTAAGTAGGCGGATAGTCACATTTAAACTGGCAGAACTACTCTGATACTTTGCAAAGCCTGGACCGAAACATGCTACTGTTTACCTCTTTACAGGGCGATGAGAAATGTAATTAGTAACTGTCTCCAGGATGCTGTAAAATGAAGTGGTCTCAGAGCGTTACCTATTAGCATGGATGACTACAACATGCATAAATCATGCTGATACTCACAGCAAAATTTATTAGGACATTATTTTTTTCCTTTACTTTTCCAAATGCTGAGAAGGTGACAGTAACAAAAAATATTATCCAAATGCAACTGAGAGACATGCAAAAGCAGGGCAAAATGAAGTAACAGCCACTCATTGCTTATGATCCATTCTACTGTACGGCTCAGAAGGATCCTATGGAAGACTTTCAAGGGCACCTCTGCTTTAGTCTCTATCTTCTCACTTTCAGGCTGTGTTTAATGCACTAAACTGGCTGGTTTTTAATCGTGTATTGTGCTCGTTAGTGCTACGTGGCCTTTTTCCCTGTCTCAGACCAGGTTCAAACACTCCGCTCAAATGCCGAGACGCCACAGACCAACTGAGAAAAACA